AAGAATAGGGGAGAGGGAATGATGGCGTGAGAGGCAGGGTGGGATTAACCAGCCCAGCTGAGGCCTGTGGGGTGGGGAGGAAGGGGAGTACTCAGAGGCCTGATAGCTGGAGTCTGTTCAAGCTATTAACAGCACCTTTGTGAGAAGCTGCTGAAGTTCCTTACATAAAGCAATCCTCCATTACAAGGGGCAGGGCTAGATGCCTGAGGGTACAGGAGGCAGGACTGCACCTGTGGTCAGGACAGCAGCAGCCTCTGGTTGCTAGGGTGACTTGAGCTGCTTTAGGGAGAGAGACAACTAAGGAAATCAAGGTGGTGCTTGCTATAAGGAGCTCAGGGCTACCTTGAACTCAAAGAGGCTGTGCACATAATGTAGGAAGTAGGGCACTAACTAGTAATGAACACAGAAATGGGACCTGGGACCTTCAGAAACCTGTGAGGCTAGCATTAGAAAGGCAAAAGCCCAAAGAGCTGAAATGTGTGGACTAAGTTAAGAAAAAGAAAGCCTTTTTAGGCTACAGTCAGGAAAAAGCAGGGTTTCTCGAAAGGTCAACTGCTTCAAGCACCTGGTATACAAAGTACAGAGGATGCAGATCTGCTGAACTTCAATTTCCTTAAAGAGAATGATTTTCCAACAGCAAATGTGGAAGAATCAAGGTTAGGCAGGCTATGAACCTCAAGATGGGAATATTAAAAAAATCTAGACATTTCAATAAATACAAGTATTCAGCTCTCAGCAAACTACATATCTTGGATTAACAAATGTTATTATACATCTAGTGATCAGTGATATTTGAGAAGTCGCAGGAACAGAAAAGAGCCATATCATCAGATACAGGTAAGTGTTATTCCTATTTTCAAAAACAAAAAGGCTTATCTCCTAGTCTATAATTGGGTACTTTCAGAGAAATGAAAAGACCAATAGAAATATGTATTAAATGGCTGCCTTTGGTTAGACACCATACTGAGAGCTTTTATTATACATTATTCAATGTGGATCCCTACACAAAAAGAGTAGGTTATTATTATTCATTCACGTAACCCCTGGTTATACTGAGAACAAGTCATGCCAAACTTAAGTTTTATGTTTTAGAAGGGAAATCAGGAGGCAGTAAATCATTCTGGGAAATAGTTTGGTATACACCTAGAAACAACTAGACCTTTAGCTTGCATGATAACACAGTCTGTGGTACCCCTGGAGCTATAACAGTGCTAGGGCCCAGAAAACACTCCTTATAACAATAATTGTGAGAGGAAGCCAACTTATCACACTCAAAGATATGCTAAGGGCAACACATTTATTAGAAGGCAAAAGGCAAGATTCAAAAATATCTCCACAGCTAAGAGAACTAGGTGTGAAATTAACAAAGTAGAATTTAATAGGATGCAAAATAAAGTCCTGTACTTGGGCTTGGAAAAAATGAGCTGCACAACAGGGTGAGGAAACCTAGCTTAAGAGCAGTGCATCTACAAGCACCCATTTTCATTTATTGCAAACTGAATAAGAGGCAGCAGTCTGAAACAGTGGTCACAAAAAGCTAATGCAATACCAAGCTGCATTAAGAGAAGACAATGTCCTCTTCACAAATAATATCATCTCTGGGGAAGTAGTCAGTTCTGGGAATTGCATTTTAAATGAATCAATAACTGAACTGTGTGTGGGGGGAGGAGGGTGGGATCCAGGCTAGGGAATGCTCTGGACAAAAGCTACTGAAAAAAACTGAGGATGTTTAAACTGAGGAAGGGAAAATACTTTTTTTGGGGGGGTGAGGGTGAGGAGCAGTGTCCAGCACAATGTCATCTGTAGAGAAGATACTCTGTCTAATGGAAAAGGGAGCGGACTAGGAATGGCAAGGGTTTCCTTTTTCCTGAGCCAGTTAGAATCACTGGTAGT